CAGAGAATGTATGGAGAGTGCATAAATGCACAGATATACCTCTAGTAACTTGTTCATTCAGCCAACCAGTTTATGTTTAAATATGCTTAAAGGGACTCTGTTGGCACCCAGATTACTTCAGCTCATTGAAGTGGTCTGGGTGCCATGTCCCTTAAACCTACAGTGGTAGTGGTAAAGTGGTACAGTGGCAGTGGCTGAGTGACAGGCAACAGAGGGTTGTAGTCAATGGAGTATATTCAAAGCTTGGGCTTGTCACCAGTGGGATACCTCAGGGATCTGTACTTGGACCCATTCTCTTTAATATTTTTTTAGTGATGTTGCAGAAGGTCTTGATGGTAAGGTATGTCTTTTTTGTCTGATGATACTAAGATAAGTAACAGGGTTGACGTTGCACGAGAGATAAGCCAAATGATTTAGATAAACTAGAAAAATGGTCAGAGTTGTGGCAACTGACATTTAATGTGGATAAGTGCAAGATAATGCATCTTGGATGTAAACACCTAAGGGCAGAGTACAGAATATTTGAGAGTCCTAACCTCAACATCTGAGGAAAGGGATTTAGGGGTGATTAATTCTGACTTAAAGGTAGGCAGACAATGTAATAGAGCAGCAGGAAATGCTAGCTGAATGCTTGGTTGTATAGGGAGAGGTATTAGCAGTAGAAAGAGGGAAGTGCTCATGCCATTGTACAGAACTTTGGTGAGACCTCACTTGGAGTATTGTACGCAGTACTGGAGACCGTATCTTCAGAAGGACATTGATACTTTAGAGAGAGTTCAGAGAAGGGCTACTAAACTGGTTCATGGATTGCAGGATAAAACTTACCAGGAAAGGTTAAAGGATCTTTACATTTATAACTTGGAGGAAAGACGAGACAGGGGGAATATGAACATGAAATATGAACATTTAAATACATAAAGGGAATCAACACAGTAAAGGAGAAGACCATATTTAAAAGAAGAAATATGAATATGAAATATGAACATTTTAAATACATAAAGGGAATCAACACAGTAAAGGAGGAGACCATATTTAAAAGAAGAAAAACTACCACAACAAGAGGACATAGTCTTAAATTAGAAGGGCAAAGGTTTAAAAATAATATCAGGAAGAATTACTTTTCTGAGAGGGTAGTGGATGCATGGAATAGGCTTCCAGCTGAAGTGGTAGAGGTTAACACAGTAAAGGAGTTTAAGCATGCGTGGGATAGGCATAAGGCTATCCTAACTATAAGATAAGGACAGGGACTAATGAAAGTATTTAGAAAATTGAGCAGACTAGATGGGCTGAATGGTTCTTATCTGCCGTCACATTCTATGTTTCTATGTAATTATTTCAGTTTCTGAGAAACTGCAATAATTACCTCTGAGGGTTACCTCCAACTCTAGTGGCTGTCTACCAGGAATTCTGGAATCGAAAAGGAACTTTGGTCCGTTACCTGACGCTGGACGTCCTCACGCCCTGCATGAGGACCTCCAGTGTCAGATTTTTACCCAGAGGAAAGCATTTAATAATGCTTTCCAATGGGGAAATCCTAATGCGATCAAGTCCATTGCTGTGCATGTGCATTAGTTGTCCCCAGTCTGCTGACGTCGGCAGGGGAGAAGCGTGAGCGGAGTCTGACCCAATGCCGAGTGGCATAGGCGCTGGATTCAGGTAAGACACTGAATGGGTTTTAACCCCTTCAGCATTAAGGGAGGGGGGCACTGCAGAAGCTTATAGTGCCAGGAAAACGGGTTTGTTTTCCTGGCACTATAGGATCACTTTAATGGAACACTCCAAGCACTATAACCAGGAGTGTCCTGTCTAGTAATGGTGTAACTTCTTACATTGTGTCCTCTGGGCGCTACTAAACCCCTCCTCTGTGCCAGAAGGGATTCATAACACCAAAACCATTACAGCTCTGTAGTGGTTATGGTGAGTGGAGTATTCCTTTAAGCTGTAAGTAAATAAGCAGCTTTTTTAAATTGCTGTTCTGTGTTCAAACTCCTTGGGCAGTGAAGCTTTACTAATTCCAGAGAGTGTTTTTAAGTTAAAGCTCACATGCATATCCTTAGCAAATGCATAAGTTCCCCATGTCATGAAGCAATCATCTATATTGTTCTATTATGTAGGTGTGCAGTGGAAGCAGAATTGTATTGTGCGTGTTATTGAACAGAATAAAAGCGTATACACTTGACACTTTCAAGCCCCATTTCTTTCAACCGTATGTGGTAATGTGTTTGCTTTTATTTACTGAATCAAGTGCTGTGGGTACTACTTGTGGAAATCATGTGCCTACTTTTACAGACTTGTGTTTCTTCAGTAGTCTCAAGGGAACATCTACTTTTTTTTTTTTTTACCACTGGTATTTAATACCACTAACCAAATTGTGGATTTAATGTTTGTAACCAGTCGAGGAAACCACTAAACACTATGTATACCAAAAGTCGATCGACAGTTGGAAAGTACTTTGCACGCATCCTGTATCCATGTGAAATGCATTTCACTCCATCCACCATGACCATGTCTGCTTTTAGAAGTGGTCATGGTGGCAAGAATATTGGCACTTATGTCAAGAGACTAGTTGCAGTTGTGACTTAGGCAGTCTGGAACTCTGATCC